GTATCGGCAAAAGCACGGCCTGATATAAGCGCCATTCCCACGCTGATGGTCGATGGGTGATACAAGTAGCCCCCCCCCCGCTCAGCTAGCTACCGCCCGGAGAGAGGAGGGACCTGGGACATAGCTGTCGCAACCCAATGAACTGCTGTGCAGTATAACTTCAAGTACACATGCACCGCCGCATGTTCTCGACAAGGATGCCCAAAGCTAATCGTTTTACAGTTTGAGGAAGGTTAATAACTGCTGTCTCTGTTAGACAAATAACAAAAAAAATACACGAGCTTCCGCAAGGTTATGCATACATTAGCCTACGTGTAGCTGCCGTTCGGAATATCAACGACACCTTGGCAAAACTTCCCCAATCCATCCTTGTGCAAGGGTTCGCAAATTCGAAGTTGAATTACACATGCGTAGCCGGAACAAACCGGCGAGTTGTGCGGGTTCACCATCACGCGGCTCTGTCCGAGGGACCGAAGCCGTTTGAGGACCCCGCTTTTGCAGCTCCTCTTGCGGTGGAACCATCGCGATAACTTGTCCAGCCCGCCGCACAATCCCGTCACCTATTGTAGATGTTCGCGTTTCGCGCTTCCACCTGTTTCGACTCGTTGTATGCTCTATTGTGCGGTATTCGACCCCGAAAAGCTCCCTACGCCTTGTAGCGTGTTGCTGCTGTAGCGACGCCCACGTTCTGCTCCCACGCGTGCAACCTAGTCTTGTGAAAGTGGTCCCCAGCAAAGGAGGATGACGGACGGAAACGTACATGTTCTTGCGTCCCTTAGTGGGTTAATTCATCAGGTTGGCGCTTTGGCGTGCAGCAAGCAAGGCACAACGGCGCACCAACGAGGACCACCTTCTATTGATCAGCAACAATATTGACGCCGACACCGATTTTCAAAGCTCAATTTCTCCACGAGGAAGAGAATGCACAAACAAAACGATACGTTTTCGGAGAGCTCTCGACCAGACGGCTTCAACGCCGCCGTTTTCGGCGCTGTGACCCTTTCTCCTGTTGAGAAATCGAGCTTTGAATTCGACCCAGGGGGGGTGTTATCTTGTGTCGTATTCGGTACTGCTTGTTCTTGACAGGAACTCAACGGAGCATCTGAGTCACACATGAAATTCATACTAAGCACATGCCACAAACGTTGAGCTTTTTCTCGCGCGGAAGTACAGACAGCCGGTGTCCCGCCTCTCCAACACCAATGGTGCGAGATACTGTCACCTCCACATGGGTACATAACCCCGACCGCCATGGTGATGCCTCCTGCGCCTCCCCCCGCCCATACAGGAGCTGGAGCGGATTTGGGCCTTCTATCGGAACAAGAGTGACAAGTGCGCCTCCAAGCTTTCCGGCCCTCAACTTCCACCTCCCTTCGACACCAGCTCCACCGGAAGCCGGGCGGGATGAGGGGTGCACCTGAGGACGTTTCTTCCACCGCGGCGGGCGGCACCGGCGTTGGTCATCGGGGCGGCGGTGACGGCAACAAGAGCAGCAGCAGTGGTGGCGGCGGTGATTGCCCTGGCGTTACCACGACGACGACGATGACTCTCCTGGTCGACCCAGACCTGCAGTACGGCACCCCGGTCGACTGGCGGGGTGCTGCGTCCGACCCCTCAGGTGGGATTGGTTGGCTCTGTGTTGGATTTTGAGGAGATTGGATGATAGCAGAGTACAGCCTCCACGTGACGGGTGTACCTGCCAAAGGAGGCATACTATGTCGTGTGTGTGTTTTACTTGCTTGTTCCACACAATCGTGTATTCACGCGGACCGACCGTGTTTTGCCTATCCCCTCCGTCTTCCCCCGTCCCCACTTGAGCATCTCTCCTCCCGCGCGCGCGCTCGTCTCAACGAATATTTTCCTGTGCGCACTGTTGTCAATCAGCTGGTCATTTTGGACGGTTTCGCCACACTATCGGCTCAAGCTTGAACACACTTACTGAACGACCCCAAAGAAGGAACATTTTGCCGTGGGCCGGAACGGCGGCGGCGGCGGCGGCGGCGGCGGCGGCGGCGGCGGCGGTGGCAACAGCAGCAGCAGGGGGGGCACGAGAATCCGCGGGCGCAGGTCAGCCTCGAGCGCGATGGCGGGCACGACGTCATCTTCACAGCAGGGCGAGGACGGGAACGGGGGGGGCGCCGGCTGGGGTCTCTCCTCCTCGACACCCCCCGGCCCGTCTCTGCAGCAGGGGAGCGGTGGTGGTGGTGGCGACGTGGACGGCGCCATGGGCTTCATGGGCAACAGCAGCGGAGAACCGGCTTCTGTCGTTCATGGTAGGCGAAGCCGAGATTGCCTTGTTGCTGCTTGCTCTAGTTGCTGCACGGTCGATGGCGCGTTATTCTTGTCGAGGCGGTATGAGGCTCCAAGCTGTGAGATACCCGCCTCAAATGCCTGGGCGCGGGTTATTTTTCCCCGCATTGGGGGGGCGGGTAGTGTTGGGGAGTGTTGGTACACCTCTGTCCTACAGCAGTGTGTCCTCAAGTATATTCTGTGAGTGCGTTTTAGCTTCCCCTGGGTGCGAAGATGCATGACTTTGTGCTGGGCCGTTCCATTCAGATTGCCCCGCAAAATGTTTGGTGGGGGCGTGATGCTGGGCAGCCTGGGTTGGGAACATGCCTCAGACTGATACGCTGCCGTGTTGCTCCATCTAGCATGTCTAGTGTGCAGCGCTCGTGTCACGTTGCAGCACACACCAGAGAATGTCGTTTTTCGTATGTATGTTTGTTTTTCTGATATGCTGCTGCCTCTGTATTGCGACACAGCAGTGTTCTTCTCTTCCTCCCCCCCCCCGCCGGAAAAACAAAAAACGATATGCTTGCAGACAGAAGCTCAACTGCGGCGCGTTTGTACGGCTGATGGAACTGCACTGCCGTCGTGCCGAGGCAGCGGGTATAACCGGCGCTCCTCCCAGACCGAGACCGAGACCGCCAATATGACCGGGGTTGGTGGTGCTGCTGGGGGATCATCAGGGCGGGAAGGCCGCGGGCGCAGTAGGGGGAGGGGGAGGAGGGGCGGGAGCGCTGTCAAAGGAGAAGGCGATGCAGGTCTGACTGCTCGAGTAACCCCTCTTCTCGGCTCGCGACCTCAACGGTATGTACCTCTGTTTTTAATGGGCAGGAATGATAAACGGTTTTTCAGTGCGGCGGGCCTTACAGTTGATGGTGTTTTTTTTTATCGCATTCTTAAACCCATACTCATACAATACGTGGGTACATCCTATCGGCCATAGTGTTCCATTCTAACACCCGTATTATTCCGGGGTGTGCTGCGTTTAGTATGTGTGTGGTCTTCCCATCTATTCTGGAGCCGGTTTACAGACGTATTTACCTGACGTATCGGCCGGGGTCACACAAGAGGAAGATCACACAGGATTTTTTTTCATTCTCTGTTCTGTGTTATTTTCCCACCTCTCCCCCTGCGGTGCTTGCCTTAGTGTGTATCGCGAGAAGGGTTCAGTCATCCTTTTCCCTCGTCGGCCGTGAACCCTAAGTTGCTTACCAACACCCTTGAATAGATCGCTTTCAACATACAGGTTGCTGGAAATCCCGGGAACAAAAACCCTTCGGAGATCGGCCATACTAAATCCTATATAAAGAATGCTCCGAGTGTATGTTTTAGTATACTGTACCCACTAATCCCGTGCAACAAAGTATACAGGACCACCTAAATTCTATATAATAGACCCCTCGCCCCCCCCCGGTGTTTGCCATCGGGGTTGGGTTATCGTCGCTTGGCAACGACGTTGGAAAACAAGCCAATTCACTTCGTCAACTCGGCAACCAGGTTACCGTTTCTTTTTACCTCTGCTTTTTTTTTTTGGGCAGTAACCAAACTGGTGGTCGAGTAGATCATGTTGTGCGGGGTCGAGAACCCTCACTCCGCGCAAGGGGGATGATCGCACCACGTTGTGTCAAAATGGTCAAGCGTCTTCGAGGCAGTTACACAGTGCTTTAACTGTCTCTGGAAGTGAAAGCACCAGAAAATAAATTAAGTCATACGCAGCTGTCATCCGTACGCAAGGAAGTAAGCACAATATGCCGAACACCCTTAGCAGGATGCAGCGCACCCTTCATGCGACTCGCCGAATACCTCACGGCGCTTCGCGCTTGGTGATGTGAGAGCTTGGTCCGGTGAGAACCCGGCGTGCTCCGTCCCGGCTTTGTAGGGATGCGAGGTCAATGGTCTAACGACTACGGCATGCACGACTCCCCCCCCCCCCCTCTTACGACCAAGATTGACGCCCAGCCTGGGGGAGTTCCCATGCGTTCCACTGGGATGGCCCCTTGTAGTCTCGCAACACACCGCTTGTCTGCCTCCCCCCCCCTTTCCCAAAACGCCACCGGGGGCGGAACACCTGTGTGGTGTGACTCCTTTTGCAGCGTCTGATGATCCCCATTGGTGCGCCCCCGTACCCGCTACCAGCTACGATTGCGTGACATCCATTATCTCAACCGCCCCTCCCCTTCCCCCGCCCCCCTTTATGCGCGAATTTTCGATTCCATGATGACACGGCACCCAGCACGCTAGAGGGTGCGGAGCTATTCTACGTGTCGCTGTTCTGCAACGGCGACATAGACGTGGCGCGGACGGCCCTGACCTTGAGGAGTCCAGCTCTCTCTGGGGAAACAACCGCTTCGACTCCGGTTACCGCCTCGGTGCTGCCACGATGCTCCTGGTAAGTACACTACACGTGCCTGTTGTTGGTTTGGTCACCTGCGGTGGCCTCCGGTCGACCA